TGGTAGGATGGACCCTGCAGAGATCCCTGTCTTTCTCCATTGACTCTAAAGGAAGGCCAGGTGATTTGTTTAGATTAAATACTTACTTTTCACATGGCAAGAATAATCCCAGGCTCAAATAATTTTATTTCTTATTGAAACTTTAAAGAAAAGCAGAATTTTTTTTTTCCCCTGATGTTTTTCACATTTTCATTACAGGGGAAAAAATCCATATACCCAAGGAGACATTTTTATTCAGAATATCCATCGGAGGAAAATGCATGTCTGTATGGGCTGGTGCTGATAGCCGGCATCTCGGGGCCAGGCTCTGAAGCGTGGCTCGTGCCTCTACTCCTGCCCTCTCCCTCACTGCTGGTTGGTGTCTGTGAAGGGAATATATGCTGAAGTGCTAGCAATTCCTGTCCTTTGTGTGTGTTACGGATATGCCTTGGGCCTAAGAAATGACAACCATAGGACCTGTGGTGACTTGAAAAATCATGCACCAATGCTATCCACCCTCCAGCCAGCATGGGACGAGTGGTGCATTATAAATCCAGATCCTTTACCAGTGGAGAGATTAAAGAAGCAAGAAAGAAGTTTCTTAATCCCTGCCTCAAGTGGTTTGAAACCTCCTTCTTGCTTGGGGTCCTACATAAATCAAAACACAGGACTGGCTATAGTCTGCAAATAAATCTTCCTTGATATTTACTTCTCACATAACTTCTCTGTAACAAAATCTGAATTCCCTACCAAATATGCTAGTAAAATGTCAACCATTCTATAATTTAGTAGCATCATAATAATAATACTTTCTTCAGTTATATGTCACTCTTTCAGAGGGCACTTGACATACTGCTTACACATAAAAAGTAAAATCAGTATCTTAATATATCATTTAGTCTATTATTTCTTAATATTGAAACCCACTAAATATAAACCATCTGTACAATAATTAATCATGCATGAATACAAACCAAATGCAGATTAAATTAGCCTGAAAAAAGTCTCCCACAAGTAATTTCCACATGCACTTGAGGAAAATAATTTAAAAAAATGTAAGTATATGAATTATTTCTGCTAGAGTGAACAATCATATTAATGGGAGAGGACACTTAGTACTGAATATTGCAATAGGATTAAAGAACACGGTTGGTTTTTTTTTCTGAAAGAATAAGAACTACCAAAAGAAAAGCAATGATTAGTTTATAAAACATATTTTGCATATATAGAAAACCTCCTGTTTGAGGATGTCATGATACTTTACAGACAATCATGAATTAAGCCTTACAAGCAGTCAGAGGAGAACTGATAACAAATATATCACAGCTAAAAATGTGTACCCAAAACAACCTGCCATTCTCAAAACTGGAATCAAAGTGCCACAGGTTTCAACAAAGACACCAAAAATCACTGGCCAGTTCTGTGCATGAGCTGGTGAACGCCATATCGGAACTGCTCCATCACAGCGTTTCCCGTGGCCGCGCTGTATGTCACACACCACCCTGCCCCATGCTTGCTGCTGTGGGCAGTTACAGGCAAAGTTTGTGCTGAAACGCAAAGCTGTGACTCAAGTTGCCATGGTGTCTTTAGCTTTAAATTGAAAAAAACCTAGTGCTCATGGCAGTGATCCAAAGCTTGAGCTAATTTGAAGCTGGATCAATATGTCCACACGGGTGTGATCAGAGCTTTCAGGTAGGCAAGTTTACAGTCACCTCAAAACCCAAAATCAGCCCTTCCAGACCGTTTGCACCCCTACCATGAGGAGTCGTCCTTTCTAGCCCATGTTCAGATAAACCAGTGCCACTAGACTTCTGACGTTAAGTAGCTGTAAAGACTTGGACGTTTTGTTGCAAACCGGACCAACTGAACAGTTGTTTAATTAAACAACAATTAAAGAGTTGTTTGCCAGGACTTTAAGAATCCCAGTCTTCTCTTTTCAGTTGCATGAACTTTTTCTGCCGTGAACTTAACCTGTCACAATTTTCTTTCACTGCACGTATTTGCTGATGCCAGAAGCTCCGGCAGAAAGAGTTCACAAATCAAGCCTTTGGCAGGTTGCAGGCTGGGTCTCATTCTCACCCACACCTCGGTGCCTCGGGGGATGTGCTGTCTTCTCCAGCTGAAGCGCAGAGGTATGCCTTTGCTTGCTTCCCTCAGTCGGCTGTGCTCATTTCCAGCTGAAACACTTGGCTGCCTGAAACCCAGGTAAGACCTCTTCAGTATTTGATTTTCCTGCTAAGTATGGAACTAAAGTATGTTGGGGTTTTGCTGGTCCTTGTTTCTCTGTTACAGTGAGTCATGTTTAAAAAGTATCACTGGTATTGAACATCACTGTGTTAGACAGGGTAGGGACTGGGACGTAGAACTTCCAAGATTACTCTTACCATGGTTACCTATATTTTACTGCAGTGCTGTTGCAGTTTAAGTCATCTCTGGGTCTGTCCATCATTCTGACAGAGTATAAAATTTAAAGTCCAACTCAGCAGGAAAATGTTTGCTCGGTTTTGCCTCAGACACCGGCTCTGCTGCCGGCTCTCTCTGTAGCCGGGGAGCCAGGCGCAGCTGCACAGGTGCTTTCTGGCATCGTCTCACTGTCACATGCCAGGCTGTCTGCAGTCGTGGCAGGTGAGAGGAGCTGAAGCAGCATGAAGTGCTGGTGGCCCTTGATAGCTTTCCCTACCTGTGGTTGCTGAAATAGCCATGTAGGTATGGCTGTTGTGTCATGTGCTGTATAGAGCCGTGTGAACCAAGCCTACGTGGAGCCTGTAACATCTGAAATACTTTGAATGCCTTTGCTTTGTTCCCCCTACTCTGGGGCAGGGGTTATTTCATCTTAGCTCATTCAACACAGCGATGGCTGTATGAAGGTGAGGAACAAGAACGGAGCTGGGAAGTGGCACTTTGGGCACACTCACATGGGGATGGTGCCTACAGATGGAGAAAGAGGTGGAAGGTACAAAGGTGGGGGCCAGGCTGCGGTTTGGGAGCTCTACTTGGTGGCAGGATGCTGGGTTGTCTTTCATACCCATGGCTGTCTTCTGTTTTTCCAACAGAGGTTTTGTGTTGGCAAGTCTTATTTTCCTCCAAGTGAGTAGGAAGAGGAAGGGTGTGAAGTAAATGCCACAATGAACCTTCCTTGGGTTCACGCTGAGGTTCACCTGTACGAGGCTTTTGCATTGATACTGACATTACCTGTTTTTCCTTACCACACTTAAAGATGCAGTTATAATCTTGTCTCCGCCAAAATTGATAGCACCTGACTTTGGGCATTTCTCAGTGGTGTCTTCATTAGGAACTCAGTCTTTGTTTTAAGTCAATGCAAAAAACATAAACCTCCAGAGGAGGAGTTAGATCTCTGGAAACAGCCCTACTGAACTTAGTTAGGATTAAATAGCTTATATGCAAATACTACAATATTGTTCCTGATAGCATTTTGTTTTTACTTTAAACTAAGTGTGAATATGTTTTTATGGTCTTCTCTGAAAGCACTTGTGAGGTGTCTCTCTGCTTTCATCCCGATTTCAGTCCTGAAAATTGTCAGGAGAAATTATTGCTAAAACAAAATCAAAGCCAGGGTTTCCTTTTAACTTTTATATTTTTATTACGGCTCTGTCACTTTACTAAAGGCTAGCTCTGAGTAAGCCTACACACAAGGGGTGCCCTGGTGAGGCAGAGCACCAGGTGACCCACCAGTTCTTCTCTTGCAGTGGCACCAGTTTGAGTTTCACGGGGAGGCATGAGGCTGGGGCTGGCCATCCTGTTACACCTCAGTAAGTACAGATGTTACAGTTATTCAGGCCAATTTTGAAATATTACCATGTGATTTACACATCTCTCTAAGATTTTGTTAGAGTGCTTCTTTTATATGCGCTATTAAGACACATGTGACAGTGAGTCCTTATTCCCCACTCTCCTGCCTAGGAGCTATGAGTGATATGAAACCTTTAAATACAAAGAAAAGCTAATTGAGTAATTGAGTAACTGTTGTAATTGAGTCTGAATCAGGTCCTGAAAGGGGCAATCATTATCTACTGACAGCTAATATCGTGGACGTGGATAAATAAAGAAGGACAGGCTAACCAAACTTATGCATGGCTTTATACCTAAAAAGTCAAGCTTCACTCATCATCTGAAGTATAGCCTGAGCCATAGACTGAAACCTGGCTGTAAAATACTGTATATTTACTGCTGTAATTGCATTACTGCTTCTGGTGTTCTGTGGGATCTTCATGTATTGATTGTATTTTTTTTAACTGCACTCTTTATAACAAGTTGAGCCAAGTAAAGCTGAACAGATAAAGCCTCCAAGGTACCCATTCCTGTTCAGGGTTTCAGGATAGAACTTGTTTGAAAGGACAAGCCCCGTAAGGGAAGTTGTAACATAATGGGGAAAATATTTAAAGTTGTTTCAGGCAAAATAAACCAAAAGATCCTGCAGTTATTTAGAGAATTCAGAATTATTCTGTTTAATTATTAATGACCATTCCATGGGGTCTGAACGGAGGGTTCTGGGACCAGACCAGGAGGTTCATTACAAATCATCAGAAAATCTGAGGGACCCTGACATCAATCCCGGTCTCAGTTCCACCATTATCACTTGGAAATCAGCAGAAATCAGCAGAATTAATCCAAATCTGGCTCTGCTCACAGAGACAGTTAATTGAAATGTCTGTGATTCTGCTGCAGGAGTGCTGGCTATGGGTATGCCAGGGTAGGAAGCATAATAAATTATTGTTTGTAGCAGATTGGCATGTTTACTGCACAATAATGTGCTGAGAATTTAAGTTTTAGCATAGATTTGCAATATGTTAGCTGTATTTTTTATAATGATTTTGCAGCAGGTTTGTTCATTACCAAAGCTCTTCAAGATTCTACCAAACAATATTATTAAGGACAAAAGGAGTACAGGCAAAGGATAATTTAGTTTTCTGCTGATGTTAGGATGTAACTGATTTTCTCTGGAGAATACTGTTGGGTATACAAAACAATTTCATCTCTCTTTGATCTTCTTTTGCGCTCAGCGCTGATAAGACTCCAGCATGCACAGGATGACTGTAATGCTGGGTCCTGCCACCCGGCCGTTGGGGACCTCCTCCTGGGTCGCAGCAAGCAATTAACGGCCTCGTCAACCTGTGGAATGAACGGCCCTCAGAAGTACTGCATTATAGGCTACCTAGAGGTTGGTTTGCTCGTTCTTTTTTAATAAGCTGAACTCCACTTACTAACAGTATTCTCATCTGTAAAAGGAAATTGCCCAGACTAGGAAGTTTCAACTGAAGTTGTCTGAAAAAACATCAGACAGCATGACATAAGCCTGGTGGAAGGCTATGCCTTATTGCAGCACATATGGAGAGTTTGGCAGCAAACAGCCTCCACAGTGATGTATAGCTTCTCAAGAAGGAGATACATCCATGAGATGCAAATGAGCACAGGAATTTCTGAAGGAGCTTTGTTCTGCGGGTCCTTTTCCCACTCATGCCTCAGAGGTAAAGACCACAGTTTGCATGTGCGTGAGTGCTTAGGAGGAAGAGTGCGGTCCTGCAGGCTGTAGGCACTGCCTTGACTGGCCTTTGCTGGCTGGAGGACATGTCCCATACAGTGTTGAGACCTGAGGCAGCCTGTTAAGCGATTCACACCATGTCTTCTCATGTCTTTTGAACTGAAATTAGACCAACATTGATAAAAGCAGAAAGCCATCTCTGGCAGAGGAAAAACCTAGTGGTGTAGTCCAGTCTTTGGCTGTGTGGGTGGGTGGGCAGATCTGAAACGTGGGTGATCAGAGGGATGCCTGTCGCTCTCTGGCTGCAGCGATGGGGGCTGTGGGGGACCAGTGGTGTTCAGGAGCCACGGGAAGGCAAAAACGGGAATTACCCTATTGCATGTCCTGGAGGACTTGGCCCCACTGAGCTAATAAATTGTCGCAAATAGAAATATTTTCACTAAATACCAGCTGTAGGCTGAAGAGGAAGTTAATAAAACACAGCTTAATTTATAAGCATTTGAAAATAATTACAGTTTATGACCTTCTGGCAAAACGCTGTGACACATTTACAGTGCAAAACTCTGCCATACTGAGATGGCACCAAGCAATGCTCCAAATTACTTATTGTAGCTATGGTTTTCTGCAAAATGTAAATACCTCTTTCCTCTTCCAAAAGAGCCTGTGAGCCGCTCTTCACCCTTTGCTGGTTTTCCCCACATTGTTTGAACAAGTGGATCCTGGGCACTAACTCATTGGCTGTGCTCTGAGTCTTCGCACTGCTTGGTAGACAGGCACAAAGAGCCATCTCAGAGACATCGTCTGTCTGGCCCTTAGCTGGATGACTGCCTTTTTTTCTTCCCTTTTTAAGAGGAGATCAAACAGCAATAAAAAATTAATATTTTTACTTGCCTGTACTTATCCTTTGAATTATGTAAATGCAGACTCATGAAAAGGAACAGCTATTCCACAATAATCCCTGTGATTTAATGCTGTTTCAACGTATCTTGACCCCTGTCTCCTGAAAAGAATGAGAACCACAAATTCGGCTGCTTTGCAAAGCTTGAGAGATAGAGGCTTATGCTCTGGCAATGTGATCTGCTGTACCAGCCCCCCTTAAATGTGTGTGTCACCTAAGGTATATCATAGAGTCCCACTCAACTCAATTCTCTTTCTCACCGGCACATTCTTGAATGCTTTGCTGGAGACAGGCCAGGAAGTTTTGCATCTTGCAAAGCCAAGTGCTTCCTCCCCCAGTTCCCCTACTGATGACCTGTGTCAGGCATCATGACGAGAGCAAACTGTACTTGTGAAAGTTTGTGTTAGTCAACGTGGCAAGCTGCCACGAGCCAGTACTCGGTTGGGATGTCTTACTGAAAATTCAGACTGAAAAAAAATTAACTGCTTTGTGTTTGAAAAGAAGCACTGCAAATCATTTTCAGTCTTTAATGTGTCTTATTGTTTCTAAATGTAGGTTAAGTGGTATTTAGCCCTATGATTTGATTTACTAATTACATGTTTTGAAAGGAAAAGAAAGAGGACTCAGTATTGAGGAGAGTATAAAGCTGCACACTTTCAGAGGCAAATGGGATCTGCCAGACTTGCCTTAAGTGGACACGCACGTGCTTGTCCTTTGCGGCACAAAAAGATTTTTATGGAGCAACCTTAAACATAAGTTGACTGAGTGTCATATTGTATGTGTCTATATAAACCAGAGAGTGGGTGTGCACAGTCCTGCCAAATGCTTCGATAACCTGAGCTCTCCTTACCAGAGCTTTGTGAAATGAGATGACAGTATTTTTTGTATTTCTGTCTCATCTTCTAAATTGTGTATTTGTACATTTGTCAAGTGTGGTATAGAATTACTGAATATAACATGTATTTATCGTAATGTTTAAAACATGTGAATTATACCATACCTGAGATATGATTTCATAATACAAAGATGTCCAAACCATTCTTAATACTTCTCTGTAGATCCTGAGCGTGCCGGGCAGGGTGCCCCTCCGCACATTCTGGGTCATTTCCAGCCCAGCTCCTGCCACTGACTTCCACTTTTTGTTTTCAGCAGCATCCCTGCCAGCCTCCCAGCCAAGGGCACCGAATCTGTGCCTCCTCCTTCAGCTCCCTCTGGGGTGCTGTGTCATCCCCCCTTCTCCCTGCCAGTGTCCCTGCCAGCCAGGCACACAGCTTAGGCATCACCTTCTGCTTTGGCTTATCCCCAAGTCCTCGCATTCAAGCTCTGCCCAAATCTTGTAGAGTCTGTCTGCGTAGCACAGCCGCCTCTGCCCGCGCTGGGCATCCGCCAGCACAACCACTGCCGTTTGCTTCCCTGTGGCACTGCTGGTTGTGATCACACGCTGCTTGGGCTTGTCCAGATGACTCAGCACGGGTCATCTCCCAGCCCAGCATGTTAACCTTCTCACCTCTCCTTAGGTCTCCCACTCAATCCCCCTCTTACCACCTTAAATAGGAGCTCCTTGCCCTCGCTTTCAAAGCCCTTTTGCAGACAAAAGCCTCTCATTCAGCATTGAGATATTGGCTAATCATTGCCACCTTCGTCTTCTGCTTGTTACATTTTCAAACAAGACCCTTTCATCCTATTGACATCCTGATTTTCCTCCTTTGCATCGTTTTTAAACTTCTCCATTTTCCCTATGCCTTCAAAAGGCACTGACAGTGGTCGGGATGGTGGTGTCAGCCCAGACCACCTACTTACATTGTACCTGGATCCAGCCTTGCCTTCCATTTGTACAACAGCACCTGTCTGCTGCTCCTGGCTGGGTCTCTGAGCTGCCAGAAAATGTGCAAAAGAGAGAGAAAAAAAATGCATAAATGATTTAATGAATGTTCCTCTTCAAGGCTTCTTCAGATCTTGAAAGATCCAGTCCTCCCTTGTATCCCTTCTGCCTCCTCACTGCCGTCTCTGGCTGAAAGTTTCTACAGCCTTTATGAGACATGAATAAAAGCTCAACTTTTAAAAAATAAATTTCTCCTGAGAAACTCTTGCAAAACAAACCATCTGGCAGCTAAACCCAGAGTTAACACCTTGACAAACTTATTTCTTTGCTCTTACTGAGATCCCTTTTCCACAACTGAAAAAATGTATTGTTTATAGAGTACCTGGGGCAAACCAAGGCCAACATTTACTATATGCATGGTTTGTGCATATGATGATTTTCTTGGGCTTGTCCCTTATATATGAAAGCCTGAGTGATTAAAAGTACAAGCACCCAAAGCAACATGAAAGGCTCCAATCTTGCAATGGCATAAATATGTGTACATCCACTGGATCTTTAGAGAAAAGACCAAATTCATCTTTTATCCTGCTCATTTTGTTTTCTAGGCTGAACAGAAATGCTTTCTCTGTGATTCCAGATACCCGTATAATCCCTATACGCAGCACAACAGTCACATGGTTGAAAATGTTATCACAACTTTTGAGCCTGATAGGAAAAAAAAGTGGTGGCAGTCAGAAAATGGTAAGTTTTTTTGTGAAAATATTACTGCAAAATGTTACCGTGAGATTTATTTATGTAATTGGGATTCATCACGTTGCCTTCGTGAAGAGATGAGACAAAACTGCATCCATTCTTTGATTCAGTAATACTGAGTGATTTAACCTACTTGTGTGTAACAATATAGGATTTCAGAAATTCTATTTTTCTACAGACAAATTTTAAGCACAGTATCTCCAACAGCTTCCCAGAGGACCCGCAGCAGTGCTGTGTTATACACGGTGGCCATGTATTTTTCATAGTGTCTGCTTTTCAGGGAAATGTGATTTGTGGCAAAATGTACATTTGCCTACAGATGTGTAATGACAGAGTGTGTAAAACACAAATATCCATTTAAAAAAAATAGTGCTTGCAGTGTAAAGCATGAATACTTTAGGAAATAATTAAATGAAGCCTGGCTATCAACACCCTTATTGCCACATGTTAATTTTGTCACAAGCTTCTCTGTAGTAGTTCTTCAATGATATCAATTTATATATCCTTACAGCTTCTCTGTGAAGGCATGGTAGGAGGAATAGCATCTACTCTACTTTATTTGACATACAATGAATATGTAAAAAACATTTGACTGGTTGGAAATTAAGGCATAGAAAAATTAAGATAATGTTACCCCTATTTTGGCTATCCAGCTAAAATTCATAGGCCTTATATTTTCATGGAGTTTAGCAAGGAACTGTCACCAGTTTTGGACATCAATGTCAATAAAGCTGTGGGCCAGCTGTGAGAGGATCTTTTCTTGCTCTTGACATCTTTCTTCTGGGATGAGGTCTCATGCACATCCTGGTAAGCAGGAGCCCTGGGATGCTGCATGCAGATGTGAACAATGGGTATATCAGCTGAGCTTCTGCAACTCTCTACAGAGAATGTGTGAATTGTGGGGTTTTTTTCTGTACTTGTTGCAATTTTGGAAGATGCCTGGTGCGATAGCTCTGCTTATGACAAATATCAGGTCTGACAGTATAGAAGGGTTTAACAGATCTGTTTAGCATGAAGAAAACCCCATATTTTTATTTGGTTTCATTTTTTTCTTAGAAATAAGCAAACTATTTGGATGGATTTTAAAAAAATCTTACTGGATACAGGAAGATGTAAACCCAGAACCTTACCATCACCATCACTTACAGTCCGAATGGTCTGAACAGGACCTTTAGCCATCTCCTGCAGTCTCAGTGACATAGAATCATAGAATCATAGAATCATTAAGGTTGGAAAAGACCTCTAAGATCATCGAGTCCAACCGTCGACCCAACACCACCAGGCCCACTAAACCATGTCCCTAAGTGCCTCATCTACGCGTCTTTTAAATACCTCCAGGGATGGGGACTCCACCACTT